CAGAAGTTTTTCTTCCTCTGATTTTTTAAGCGATGCAATGCGTGTTTTTTCTTTTACCAGTTCAGTTTTTTCTTTTGTGAGAAGATCGGTCTCTCTCTTGTAAAAACTGACTTCCTTTTCAGCTTTTATCCTTTCAGATTTTTCAAAATTTAATATTTCTTTAAGTTTGAGAAAATATGTTGAAAGTTTCATGACCCTTAACTCTAACTCTGATGGAACAGAGTTGGTTTCATCGATGGAAGGGTCACATACCTGATCATTTGAGTCAGAGGTGGATTCTGCATTGGACATGGCAATGAGGCATATGAGTGCCTTGTCTTCTTCATCAAACGAAGAATCAGACACCCAATTTTCTTTTTCAACCATCAGGCTTTGCTTCTTCGGATTGTACTTGTATTTATTTTTATAATAGTCAGCATCCTTCACCAGGCGTCCTCTGCATTCCTTTGAAAAATGTCCTATCTTCCCGTATCTGTAGCAGCGAAGACCATCTTTCCTATCGTCTCCTTCTCTTCTATCCTCTCTTCTCTCCTCTCTTTCTTCTCTTCCCTCTCTTCTTTCTTACTTCTGATGGAACTTCATCGGCTTCTGATCATATGAAGGTTGGTACTTCTCCCTTTTGGAGTCTCTTCTTTCATACGGCTTCTTGACAAACTTCTTCTGGAATTGTTTCATTATCAAGGCCAGAGACTTGGCAAAAGCTTTAAGATCATCATCAGAATCGGATGGCTCTTCTTCGGATTCTGACTCTACTACTAATGCCTTCTTGTTTTTCCTTCTGTGATCTCTGGTGGAGGTCCTAGTAACTTCTTTTTCTTCTGCAGCAAGGGCAAGAGGTCCGCCGATGGACACTTTCCTCTTCATTATGTCCTTTTCTTGTGTAGCAAGAGTTCTATAGATGTCATGAAGCGACCAACTGTCTAAGTACTGATTTGCTTGGAGGGACATCGACAGCTGAGTCCACTTATCACCGAGACTCTTGAGAAACAATCATAAGTCTTCTGAATCGGTTCATCAGGGAGAGCCTTGAAATTAGTGTATTCGTTGATGTATTGAGCTCTACGATTTTTCTTCATTTTTGCACCTCTTTCCAGTAGGCTCGCCAGCTCTTCCCATATCTCTTTCGATGTAGTGCAAGCATCGAGTGATTAGAAGATGTTATTTGGAATGGTCATAATGATCAGCCTCTTAGCTTTCTTGTCTGCCTCTACACGCTCAAGGTCATCCTCGTCCTAGTTTTTTTCATCTTTGGGCATGTAGTAAGCAGCAACTTCTGCAGTAGTGCTTGTTCCAGGGACTCTTGGAACAAGAGTATGAGGAACATAAGGTCATTCCATGACAGATCTGAGGAGATTCTTGTCCATCCCCTCCAGGAAGTTCACCATCCTTATCCTTCATTGTGGATACTCTTCTCTTTGAAGAGTTGGAGGTTTGGTGAGGGAACCCACAATATATGCAGAATTTCAGTTGGCCATTAGAGATTTTTGAAGAGAACGAAAATACGCTTTTTGGAGAAGAGGATTATGAATTTAAATGGATGAAAAAACGAATTGAGAGATTTTAATTTGATCGTTTTGATTGAAGAACAATCAATCGGCTCTGATACCAATTATTGATCTCAGATCTCTCAATAACACGAATATTCAAGTTAGGAATAATCTAAATATATCGTGCAGATGGAAAAAGTGAAGAACACTCAAGAACACAAATAAGAATATTCAAGAATATGAATGAGTGCCGAATGATTCACTTTTATTCAAATGATTGGTGGAAAGAGTAAAAGATTACATGAAAGGTAAAGCCTATTTATACAAGAAATCTAATTAAGGAGATTGCCATTTATGGAAGATATTTAGCAAATCTCTTACGAGGGAAAGAAATCTAGACTTATGGAAAGTAAATAGAGCTTAGTAAGGAATGGAGAATCCAGCTGTCAATTTGCCATCTCCAGCTGTCTTCTAAGGGGCGTGTTTAACCATGTCTTATGATCTTCTTCATCGTGTACCTCTGGTTGAACTGTTGAGGAAAACTCCAAGTGTTGGTAACTAGAGGGGTTATGGAGATGCGCAGTTCATCGCACCTCTGGTTGTATTGGGCACTTAGACTTTTTGCTTGAGAGTCTTCCATCGGCCTTCTACTCTTTCACACTTGTTGTATTTTTCATTACTTTTACATATATGAGTAATGGGGTCTAACGTCTCCATGCTCATCACCATGGACAATCTCGATGCCATGACCGAGTACCTCTCCTATCTACGCGAGTATGGCTATAGTGAATGGCTAGAAATCAGACAAGCCATTCAACGCTCCAAATCTATACATAAGCCGATTAACGAAGACATCATCAGTGATCTGATCAAGAAGGTGTCCACGTATGTCGTAGTTCCTGAAAGGCCAACGCTGAAGAAAGGAGGAAGGAAGAAAAGACATTCTAGTCTTAATGATGGACCATCCCTGAGGAACGAACATGAAATAAAGTTCTCCTCAGATGAAGTCTTGAAGGATCATGAGAGTCCAGACATTTCTATGCTGAATCTTGCATTGCTAGCTAAGGGTCCTTATGTACACAACATTGTGCACTTCAAACCTGAGTCAGAAGCTATATTCCTTGACTATGACGGTGAACTAAGATTTTAGAGAATGTCTGAGTTACATCTATGCCCTATGGAATACCTCGTATATCTCATGTTCTGGCTAGATGATGACTTAAAAGGAAGAGTTATGGATCGAAAGATAATAAGGGAATTCCTACGTCGAAAGAAGCTTGGAAAAGATGTACCTGGTTACATAAAACTGAACAACTTAGACTAGTTTATTTCCTTTGTAATATTGTTCATGCACTATAATCTATTTACTATATCTACTTTCAGTTAATACTCTTATATTCTGTAAGTTTAGACATGTACTGAAACTCTTGTAATATCTCATTTGAATTTAATATAAGTGTTTTTGTGCATCACTGAAAAAGATCCCTGAAAAGAGTAAATAAGGACACAAGTCTATGAGTTCCAGTGTTACTCTAACATTCACTGACAATCTATAAGTCAGTGAATAAGCTTTCAGTTTCAGTTTTCCTTCTTGTAATTTTTCTTAGACTTAAACTTAAGAAAATTTTCTAAGTTAAGACTAACTCACTGAAAAAGATCTCAAAATAGTTAAAAGGGACATGTACTTTATGTGTAACTTTTCCTCACTATTATTTGATAAGACAAACTTCTTTATGTTATCTTGTTATCATCAAATAGGGGAAGATTGTTGATCCTCTCTCTCAGTGATTTGATGATAATCCCATTTACCTTATACGAAGTATTTTGTGTTTTTGTCTTCCAGTTCCAGCGATCATCACTGAGTCTATTCACTGATTGCTGAGAACATGCATTGTAAATCCATCAGGGACAGTGATACTTCAAAAAGACAAATCTCACACCAAAGAACCTTCAGCAAAAGTCGAAGACTGAAACTGAAGATTAGAGACTGGCGAGTACATGATGTAACACCCCCAAATACCACATTTGCATATAACACATATTTCATTACATGGAAATATATTTTACTTTACAAGGTCCCACTAGAACAAGGATTCTTATATGAACAAAATCTACATATGAAAAATTCCAAAATAAACCCTGTACTAACACATGTAATACAACATGTATCTTCAAAATAAGCCATCAAAAGCAGATCTTCAAAAGCAGATAATAGGTTAGAAAAATAATCACATTTTCTCTTTCCTCTTATTATCCCTGGACCCCGCTATTCCTGCATTTCATATTTTAAAACAGAAAATGAGGGTTAAACCAGAAAGGTCTAGTGAGTGAATCTCTCCTTTGAGAATGTATGGTAATGAATACCAACATATAATAAAGTAATTTTGCCCAGAAATATTTACAATACCCTCAAATAATGCAGTTCTTAGTGACATGTATAAAAGGATAAACTCAAGAACCTCAGTTCTATTGATAAAATACATCTGCTTAAAGATCTAATGTTTCCAATATGAAACAAACATTGTAACCAAGGCTTCTCTAAATCATCAGTCCATTTAGTTGTAAATATTAACGGAAAGATTTAAGGCAATACTTGCCCTTTATGACAAACCATTTTCCCCTTCTCAATAACATCTAAATTAATATTTCTAATAAGAATAATATATTTAATTCATCAGGTCACAAAGAAATGATGATTCAAAATTATTAAATCCAATTAATAATAATAGTAAGAGTTATAATAATATCCACATATGATAATGCCTCCCTTATTCCAAGTACACCTCTCTTTGATATGACACCCTTATTCCTCCATCAAAACAGGGTTACTTATCAGAATAGACAAAAGTCCCACGTTTAAAAGTACCCATTCCCAGTTCCAAACCAGACCAGACAAAAGTCACCATGTCTGGGGAACTACCTCTTAAAACAAGTTTCATACCAAAACAGACTTACGTCACCACGCTTGGTAGAAATAGTTTTATAAAATTCACTTCCATACCAAAACAGATTTACGTCACCATGTTTGGTAGGAACACATCTTTTTTTATTTAAAAAGATATAAAATACCCCTTTTTATATATCCATACTCAAACCCAATAATAGACATTTTGAACTATATAAATGTCTAGAATATTACACTCTTAAAATTATCAAATATAAGTTATCCGGACAAGTTATCTGGACATACAATCTGGACAACACTTGTCCTTTTTTGTCCGATTTACTAATCCGGACAACCCTTGGTCGATTAAAGACAATCACATGATTTATGTCCGGTTTAAGGCATTCCGGACAACACATGATCGGTTTAACCACTCAATACATGATCGGTTTATAACTAATCCGTACGACCCTTAGGTGATTTAAAGCTAAACCGCACAATCCTTGGTCGTATTCCTACTTCTTCGTTCAAAACTTTTGTCCGGTTTACATAATTCAAATTCGCACTAACTCCCTAAATCGCACAACACTTAAGCGATTTATGAATATATCGGACACTTCCTATTCGATTTATGAGTAATCCGGACAAGCTTTGTCCAATTTAGACTTAATCCAGTTAGCCAGATGACCTCGCTGACCACAATTAAAACATGAACCGGTCATCCGAAGGCACGGACTCGGTCGGTGTGGTAGATTACATTCTTTGCAAACAATTGGGGGAGTCGTGACCGAAGGATTTGAACTTGTAATACTCTGAGATGACCCTGAAAATTTGCTACCACCAAATCTCCTTTTATCTGAATTGTCTGACTTAAACCTGTTGAAACTTCCCGATGACCCGTCATGCTTTCGCTTTTTATCTTTATCACCCTTGAACTGAATGGTGTCGAGTCGTTCCCTTTCTATATTTCGCGCGGCGTCAACAACCTGAGCAACTGTAGTAAAATTTTGATTGATCAACTTTGATCTGTACTTTCCATTAAGTGACCATTTGAATTTTTCAGTTTGATATGATGCAATACCCGCAATGATACCCGCATAACTGGCCAAACGCAGAAATCTGGCCATATAGTCGGAGATAGACTCATCATCTCGCTGACGAATAGTAGCATATTCTCGACCATACGCATCTTTGTCAGAATTGGAGAAATACTGCTGATAAAAGAGCTCCTTAAATTCTTCCCAAGTTAGAGACCCAATATCAACCACCCCAGTATGGGCCTGTTTCCACACGTGCCACCAACAGTAGGCGTCACCTTCCAATTTATATATTGCCAATTCAACACGGATATGATCTGGGCAACCCAAAACTCGAAATATCTTTTCCAAATGTATGATCCAATCTTCGGCATCGACTGGAGTAGCTGCCAAAATAAAAACTCGAGGTTTCTGTTTGTGAAATCGTTCAAGCCATAGATGAATCTCTTGGGAATTACCCCCAGTGTCGGTTCCTTGACCTTGAGTCTCTGATGGTTGGTTCACAAGGTTTGGGTCTTCACCGTCGTCAGATTGACGGAGTGCTTCTACAGTTTGTGCTACCAAACTTGGTAGCATTTCAGACATAATTTGGTGGATTGTTGCCGTAATGTTAGGATCGATTGGCTGGGTTGGCGGGGCATTTGATGCATTTTCTGGCCCAGTTTGATTTCTTCTGGGTTGTCCCCGTCTTGGTCCTTCCAAACTCGGTGGCATATTGAATTACTACATTTGCCATTTAATTTTCATTAAAATCAACATTGGATATAAAGAAAACAAGAAGCATAATTGCAATTTACGAAAGCGAGAATTGAATTATAAAAGCAAGAATGATAYAATTAAACAATTAGAAGGGGAAACTTAAATTACCCGATCCTATTATTACCCATTCCTCACAGATCAAACTTAGTCTTACTACAGGATCTTAACCTATAGCTCTGATATCATAACTTGTAACACCCTTGTCCCGCGTGGCCGGAGGATGATGTGTTACGGAGGAAAACATAACAAGATAAATAGCTAATATAAATATATACAAGATAACCAGAGCTACTATGAACATCCATTAAAAGAAGGTGGTAGACTAAAAGTTAAGACAACATGGATACAGTTACAATATATACATAAACAAAAACTACTATACTATCCAAGGTCACCTTCAAAATAGTCATATTTCATCGCTCTCAATCCCGTGATAATCCCACCTACGATCATGTACCTGCCGAGAACAAAACAAACCTCGACTGAGCCAAATGCTCAGTGAACGGATAATTAAARTARCAAGATTGCAAGTAWAAATCGAGTTAATAAAAGATAATAATTATAAGGAATCCGAAAACCAGAACATGAAGGGATCAATTAATAATTGACATGAAATGTCCATACTGAAATAATTTAAAATAATATCATCAAGTCAAGAATTGAGAAATAAATAAGAAAATCAATTGGGTTCAAGGGTTGTACGGACCACTCGAACAATGGAAAATGAGTGTAGGGCAATACACTCAATTCCCTTCCGATAATCGGCTCCCGAAATTGGTTCCCGAATACGGCTCCCGATATCCATTCGCCCTCAAATTAGTCGGTACCAGGCCAGACTCATTTATTGACATTGGGGTATAATAGCGAGGACACCATGACAATTTATAGCCGCCATGGAGGCGTCACGACATCATTGCCCTCGATGTCGTGCCTTAAAGCACAAAATGCTCATATCACCAAAACATATCAATTTAATGTAAAAAGGGTAATCTCACAAAATATGAAACTATAATTATATACAAGTGAAAGATGCCGAGATGGTAATGAGATACAATATTGCCTCTATAATGAATTAGTGATTAAAGAAAGTCACAAGAATCGGGTATCCGTACCTTAGACGGCAATCGAAGAAGTAAGTACGTAGCTCATATCCCCTTGTTAATGCCCTTTCTTATTCTAAGATTGGTCCTGAATAAGTTACACATGATTGTGACTGATTGATACAAGATCTACGGATGTTACAATCCTCAAAGCACAAAGTACAAGCATGAAATAAAGCTACTAAATCCCCTGCACCAGACAGCTTTGAACCAACTTGACTTTGATCATTTTTATCATACTTAGAGATGCATTCAGGTGTTAATATCTAAGCAAAAGTTGTAGGACGATTACTTAGGGTTCCATTCAATTTGGATTCATTCCATTTGGAGCAAAGACCTATTTTATATAAATTTTCTAAAAACAGTATGCAAATCCCATTTTTGCACAGGACCAGCTACATAAACTCACTGTTTTGAGCATTGTGGAGGTAAAATCAAGTCTAAACATAAACTACAAGACACAGATACCTTTCCAACAATATATGGCACACCTCAATCGGATCAATGAGTGATTTTATATGAATTTTTAAACAAACAGCAGTACTAAGATTCTTATGCACAACTCAAAACAGCCCCTTTTATATAATTAAACACTAAAACTATCAAGAATCAATTATATAGCTTTACCATATTGCAAATAAATGATTAAAACTTATTTTATAACTTCTTTAACCAACAATGACATAAAAATAGCATCATTTAACAAAGGTTTAGCTTACTAATCAAAACCTTATGAACCCTAACATGAACCTTCTCAATTTTAACACAAATCAACAAATTAGACCAAAAATCTTGAAATTTATAGATTCATACCTTGCTTCTTTATATTCTCTTCAATCACTTAGCTTTAAATCTTCAAAATATCACCAAATTAGAAGATGCATGAGAAGATTAAACTAAATCTAGGGTTTATGTGAAGAGAGAGGACTAAGTCTAGTGAGAGAAGTGCAAGGGGGAAAAATGAGTTATTTTTCTGAAATTAAGGATTTAAATAGTTAGTATAAGAATTCTCACTTAGCAAATGTTACCCTTCATCAATTGCCTAATTTACTAGTAGTCTTTATATGGATTTGTCTTAACATTTCTAGTCCTAAGACCAATTTATTTTCTATATAATTAACCATTTACATAAAACTTGGACTTACATTATTAGTCCAAAATACAACTACTTTAAGTAAGAGTACAAGTAGATAAAGCATCTAATTGTCATGTAAATAAATATACCAAGATTAATCAATAACAAAATCTAGATTGTTATATATTCATTACAAATTATAATTATTGTTATTAAAAATAATAAATAAAATATGTTATTTTAACGTAAAGTTTAGAAATTTGATTTTTATTTTTTAAGTGCGGTTGAAGTTGAGTTTTTTTTAATGTTTATAGGCCACATATTTAGGGGGTGTTTGGGTAAGCTTATTTAAAACAACTTATACTTTTTTGTAAAAGTGCTTATTAACTTATGCGGTATCAAACTGGAGTTTTGTAAAAAGTGTTTGGATTAGCTTATAGCGGTACCAAAATGCAAAATGACCAAAAAGGACAGCTCATTTTTAGGTTATCTTCTACCCTATACCAGTTGATACGCAGGTAAAGCATCAGGTTCTATGAGTTGAAGAAAAAGGGTTCATATTTGAAACCCTAGAATCGTTGGAAGTTGGTTCGATCGATGATCTTCTGCTGTTTTCCGGTCGTTGTCTCCTTCGAATCGTTGTCTCCTTCAAATCGTTCTCTCCTTCGAATCGTTGTCTGCTGAAATCGTTGTCTCCTTCGAATCGTTGTCTGCTGAAATCGTTGTCTCCTTCGAATCGTTGTCTGCTGAAATCGTTGTCTCCTTCGAATCGTTGTCTGCTGAAATCGTTGTCTCCTTCGAATCGTTGTCTGCTGAAATCGTTGTCTCCTTCGAATCGTTGTCTGCTGAAATCGTTGTCTCCTTCGAATCTCTTTTCCGGTGAAATCGTTGTCTCCTTCGAATCTCTTTTCCGGTCGTCGCTCCTCCGTTCGGTATAGAGAAAGAGTATGCACAGGCGAAGGAAGAAGCAGGAAGCCGGCGATGAGAAACCAGAGGACTTGCCGGCGATGAGAAACCAGGGGAGAGACGGATGCGATGAGCGGCCTGTAGGGTTAAAAGGGTAATATGTCAAATAAGTCAAGAGGGAGTAACTTATCAAAAACAACTTATTACCGGTTTGGCACCAGTATAAACAGTTTTTTTTTTTTTTACATTCAAACACTCAAAATAACTTATCGACGGTTGTGGACTGAAATAAGTTGATAAGCACCTTAAATAAGCTTTCCCAAACACCCCCTTAGTGTTTTTTTTATGACGTGATTGAAGATACTCTCAGAAACATTATGATGATGTAAGTAATTGTCTTACGTGTTCTTATAGTTTTTATCCACTTGATATCTACTTTTGATGCAGGTTTACCAAGAAGAAGCCCTAGGTTAGTGAAAGATGAGTAAAGAAGTGCTTGTATCCAAGAAAAAAGGTTAGTTTCACACTGCATTGAAGTTGATTTATTTGATATTTTGTGTTTTATAGTCCGATTTTAGGGTTTATAATCCATTTTTTCACCAAAGCTTTTGGTTTATGTGATGTATTTTAGGGATTTTTTGTGTATCAAGTCAATAACCCTCTTTATATTAGAGCTGTTTTTTATGAAATCATTCAAAGAGATGATAAACATTGTTGATTTTCTAAATTTGTATGTGATGTAGTGTTGTTATTAGTGTTTGCATGTTTCTTATGTTGGTCAAAAGTTTCTTATTTTTAGTCTTTATTTCTATATGCATCTGTGAATAAGTAAACTCATAATGGGTTTCTATTACTGCCAATACATACATTCATACTGAAATTGAATTTTTTTGATATTTCAACTTTTTCTGTGTGTGATAAGCCTATCTGGAATCTTCTTTTCACCCAAGTAGTTGGTTTGTGTGTTGTAGTTTAGGGGATTTTTGGGTATCAATCAATAACTCGAAAAAGAATATATAAACCCCTATTGCATTCTGGAAAATGAGGATTTATGTTTACAGAATCAACCATTGCTTTTGTGTTTAACGATTATTCTTGTTACTAAACTAATTACTTGCATCCTATTTGGTTATTCAATACTCATATGACAATTTTATATCAGGTAATAGAAGTTCATTTGTTCCTCAATCTAGTGACAACAATGATCCAAGTGAAGAACCTAGGTGTAAGGTTAGAGAAAAAATAGATGGGTAAGTGACCAAAGCCCACTAAAGTCTTAAAAGCAGTTGTAGAGGCAACAGTCCATAGTGAGATAGAATATCGCAGAATTAGAACCCGTATGTCCCTGAAGAAACTGTTTAATGTTGTACGATCCCTGACAAGTGAACAAAGACAAGTGTGTCCTATGGGTTTTGGGTGTTTATTTTCCCTCCAAATTGATTCTATCCCTGTAAAGTTGGCCCATTTTATCATGGAAAACCTTGATCAGAAGAATTTGAAGATCAAGACTAAAAGGGGTTTGATTCATGTCATCAAGGAACTTGTTTATGCCATGACTGGTCTTCCGGTTGGAGGCAAAGATATACTTTCCATAGGACTTCTTGAAAACGATGATTCAATGGTCAAAGAGTTTCATAGTGAATTTGGTAATAATAATAATACTACCCCTGCTGAGCTGGTTAGACAGATTAAATCGAATGTTGATGCGGGTCCAATGTTTAAGATCAATTTCATCCTTCTCTTTGTGAATATTATGTGCCAAACCATGAAAACGGGTAGATGTTTCTTAGGTTACTTAATCGATTGATTGGTTGAGACAATATCGATCAGATGGATTGGTGTGCCCTTATAGTACACTGTGTGGTTGAATGCAAATACGGGTGCTTACCAGAAGACCCCCGTTGTTTTTTCACAGGTCAATTGACTGTATTGGCGGTTAGTACTTAAGGGTTTGCTAAATAATTTATTTTTTTAGTTATAGTTATGCCAAACATTTTTATTATTAGTGGATTGTCACCAATGTCTTTTTTTTTAGATTTTGTACGTTGATGCGACACATTCATTAGACAGTCCTACAATGAGACAGAGACCCGCATTACTAGGATGGACAGCGATTTGTTGAAGACGAGGGAGTACGAGGATATCGAGAAAGGGGGATTCGGTGATTTTGAGATCAGCCAATCTTTTCATGGTCCGATGAATTTGTTTTTCCATGACGCTCATGTAGACCAATTTGCAAATGGCCGCCCGCTGATTGATCTTGATGCAGTTCTTCCCGACACCTAGCCAACTGATGTTGAGGTAACATTTGTATCACATTTATTTCATTTTGTATGTTTTTTATAATGTTGTTCAGTTTGTAGTTTTGGTTTAACTTGCCTGAGATGTATAGTTAGGTGATTATCTAATTCCAATTAACATTCATTCACAAATGCGTATCTGCCAAAAATAATAGTTTATGCATTTGATCAATCTAAGTCATACTCATTAATTATGCAAAGATGCATATGCCATGATAAAACTATGAAAAAAAATTAATAACAAATGTAGCATGATGTGCACATATGCATGTTTTTAATTTCGTTATATATTTGATTAGTTTCTCTATTCACATATGCATGTAGTATATAATAAAACTGTTCTTTGATTGCACAGGTGCATTGAAACATTTGATTATGACATCGAAAGATATTGTATTTATATATGCATCCAAGGAAATTAAAATTTGTATCTATACATGTTAAACTACAGGGGTTGATACAATTAGTTGATTCCAAGGTTCAGGAGATGGAACGTCTTAAACAAAAAAATTATCATATGTGAACCAAGGACTATATTTAGATCCACAGCATGAGCATCTCAATAATTGTAGATCAAAACTAATTGTTGCATCTGGTTGTGAAGATCGAAATACTGACCTTGTTAAATGTGTTTCTGCTAAAGACATAAGTAGAACGTATGTAAGGCGTACGCGTAAAGTGCCTGTAGGTGGTAGTGTACCCGTGTGTCCCATAACTAATGATGAGATGACTCCAATGGTGAGACCGCAACCACTGTGGAATGAGGATTTATAGACTCCAACGCAGTTTCCAATAAGCCGGATGTGCTTGGTTATCTTATCTCTGCTGCCAAATCTATTGACGAAAATTGAAGAAAAAACTATTGAATCATTGTCTTCTCCCCTAATTTCGACATGGACCCGTCACAAGAGTGGATGATATTGCTCGTAATTCGACTATGACTCACGAATCTGTAGATAATTTAGGTGCCACAGAAAAGACTAGTGAGTACGTGGGGAGGCACGATAACCGCACGGGGTAAGGAGGGGAGACGTGTTGTAAGAGCGGCAATCGTTCTATGTTCACCATATGTAAGGAGACAGGTTAGTGTGTTGCACATGTGACCACTGTAGAGTTCAAGATTGCCAGATCTTTGTTTGCAATGATGGGTGACATTAGGTAAGTAGCTATATTATTTATTTAGTATTGATCGTGTTGATTCTTATCGATTAGGTTCTCTTTTTTTTGAAGCATGATGTCTTAATCATTATAATATCTCATATGTCAGTGAGCCTGTGTTTGAGACTAAATGTGGTGTTAGCAGTATTCGCGTTACAATGGAAAGTTTAAACCAGGGGCCTGTGTGATTGCTAACGTCATTGACATGTGGACCGTTTTGCTCAACCATGAAGAACTACACAGGACTCCTGAGTCTCTGTCAAGCTTCTTTTTCCATTCCTCTATTCTAGTTTGTATTAGTATCTTTTGGTTTTTACACCACAGTGATATGAGAAGTGGTAAAATGAGCGATAAAGAGAGATATGGCAAGTATTATGTGAATGTAACATCAGCTATAAGTAGGCATCGTGAATCATTATCTTTCAAGAACATTGATCTAGTGAGTTGGTTTGGTCTAATTATTCTTGTACGTATTTTGTTGCTTTTGTTTTTAGTGATGTATGGATTTTCATTGTTAACAGGTTTTCTTTGCCATTGTGGAAGCTGAACACTTTTACCTCTTGCGTTTTAACTTGAAGAGAGTGGCATTTGTTGTAATAGACAACATGTCTGTTGACATTTCATCTGAAACCAAGTATAGTGTTACTCCTTCAATATTGGTGAGTACCTATCTATTTATAAGAACATGAATTTCTCGTATTAGATAGCTCATGGTAACTTCTTTTTATCTTTAAATTGATAATCTATTGTTCATATTATGTTCATACATATGATCCAATGTGTATCAAATCGTAATTTTACACATGTGCATACCCAAGAATGTTATCTTACTAGTACATGCATTTGTGCATATGCACAATTACCTCTTTCATATGCATCAATGATGCTATAATTGTTTAACCAACTGTTCATATGCACTGATGCATACGTCACTGTATTTTTCCAGTGTTATCATTCAATGTCTCTTTATACTAAATATTTAAGCTACGTCACTTCATACATTTTTTTATCGTATAAAACTTTGTTTGTGGAATATCTAAGCTACATAAGCCACAAGAAGGCTGACGCTATCGATAGGACTAGTTTGGTTAGGCTGAAAATGAAGTGGCGCACTAATGAGAATTCTATAGGTTGTGGAATATTCGTAATGTGCCACATGGAAACATACATGGGCCAATCTGTTGGTCGGTTGGACTATTTACTAGGTAAAGGGTCGGCGACACAACATGTGCAGTTGACGCGTTTGAGGTATAAATATGTAGCAAAGATTTTGTTATCTGATATGAATATCAAGGTAAGGTCATTGCATTAGCCGATACATTTGATGGCATTGACCGTGAAGCCCAGAAGATCATAACGACAAGATCTCTGGCTACATAGAAAGAGAGGACGAAGCTTTTTTTAGGATAGTGTTGGAACAAGGAGAGGTTGTTTTGGGTTATTGATACATATATAGACATTGGGGAAAGGTTTTCATATGTTGGTTTTGTTATTTTCCTTTAGAATTGAAGTATTATTCATATTTTTCCGAGTGGATGCACAATTCCCCCTTAATTCATAAGTATTGTTTTTGGATTCATATGTTCTACATTTAGGAATCTTAATGTGCATATAAATGTTTTTATAAAGTCCAGTCACTTCATTATATACGTAAGCTATTACGTATTGTTGGCGTTATATTAGTTGTGTTAGTTTAGGGTGAAAACCGATTCTGTAATAAACATTCATCTTATGTATTGTTCGTCTTAAATTAATTGCATCATGTTTGTGTTATAATCGGAAGGCCCTAACAACTGTTCATGCTATGTATTGTTTGTGTTATATGATTTGGTTTATGCTTGGAGGAGAAACAAAATACTATAATCATCGTTCATCTGATTGCATACTAATAAACCTCCTTTGAGGTTTACTTATAGAAGAAGGAACTAATTGAGTCTGTCAAGTCTTGCTTTAAACATGAATAAGAGAGGGGTAGATTGGTAATTTTGTTTTGCTTAAATAGGGAGCTGTTAGAGGCAGTCGGTATTCTGTTTTCATTTTCTGGAAAGTTCTGTTTTGGAGCATAAGCTCAGGGAGAGAATCCCAGACCTCTCGAAAGTCTGGGAGTTGTACAAAGCCTGTTTTCGCAAGCAATCTACTGACAATTTCATCTCTATGTGTTTCAATTTGACGAATTCCAGTTAGTGTACAACACATACATATGTGCATACAGGTAATATGTAGCCTTTTTCATTGCATGCACATGTGCATAACAATTATGTGTACATACATATGAAACATCAGATATTGATTTATTCAATTGTTGTTTTATATTCTGATGACATTTACGTATCATATAGGTAACAAAATCATATGTGCATGTAGTGTTTTAGTTTGGACATTCACAGTGGATATACTATTATGTCAGAAAGAGATTGAAACTGAAAAAAATTAAACAATACAAAATACTTGACCAAATGTAATAATATTCAAATGTTATTTCAAATTAAATTCTACTGATCTACCTTATTTTTCGAAGGACAATTCCTTGAATCATGCCTAACTTTTTCCTTACGCATATTGCATAGCCTCTTTGGTTTCGTACTCCCGGAAATAGCTTTCTTAACCTTACTCTTGAACCTTTTCCGAGTTCTTCATCCTTTGTTGTATTCATGTTGGATTGTGTATCTCAATCACATCAGGCTTCGAGACTCCAACGATTGATTCTATCAAGTCGTCCGTTTTCTGAGTTGCTTGAGAAGGAATACTAGCATCAATTTCTCTTTTTAGCTCAACCATATTCTTCACATATTCTTCCAACTTCTCATCATCATACCTTAATACACTTAGGGGCTGTTTACCAAACACTTGCCCGACAAGTGCTTACCGGTAAATTTTAACACTATTATTTACTTATCAGGTAAGATTTTAGTTTACCAAAACGACATCGTGTGCAACAATTCACCCGGTAAGCGTTTACCGTGGTAAGAGTCATCGCCCTCACTGACCGGGTAAGACTCTTGATCCTTGTCTCGGTTCTTACCGGGTAAGATTCTTGGTCATTATCATATCATCCGGTGAGATAACGTGACTTGGTAAGCGATTACCAAGACAAGTGTTAGGTAAACCGCCCTTTATACAATGCTCGAATGCAGATCTCTCTTCATGCACAAGCTTTGTTCATTTTTCATTCGTTTCACCAGGCCATGTCCTCTTCGTCAGAAGTTATGTGGGTATTATATCTCTTTTCCGACGTCATAATATGTATTTATCTGATATTTTTTGAAACTTGTGACGCCTCAACACACAAAATATGGAACAAGGTGTTGAACGAAGTGTAAACACGTACATTCTACAGTCTCATTAGTCTTTTGCAGTAAGACCTTCATGGATGAAAAGTATTTTATGTCAATTCAAATGTGCATGGCCCCAATCTTTTTCGACATTCACATGTGCATGTGGGTCAGACCTTCATGGATGAAAAGTATTTTACGTCAATTCAAATGTGCATGACCCCAATCTTTTTCTGACATTCACATGTGCATGTGGGTGATTCACATGTGCATGTTTTAATAATATATATAAACAAGTTTGATTCCAACTAATAACACATACCTTATACGTCAACTCCCTTGGAACATTGGAGTCATTTGTCTCATTTTCATGCTCGTTCATTTCAATCTTTGTGGTTTCTCTTACATTAGGGACTTCTGTTCCGGTCTTTTGATTGTACATTCATGATTGGACATGACTAGATTGGCTCTTGTATTTATTTTTTAACTAACATGAACATGTCACATGTGTACATTATGCTTGCATTTCGCTCAATGGCTAATGGGGTCTTCAAGGTAGGTGGTGGTGTTGTTGTTGTTGTTGTTGTTGTTGTTGCTGCTGCTGTTGTTGTTGTCGTCGTCTTATTGTCAAAAATGGATTGATTGTGTTTTTGTTGTCCATTACATTACAGCATCAAACAAATTACCAAAGACAAGTAGTGTTGCACCAAAATGCGTGAATTGTGAAAATAAATAACTATCACTTTCAGATCATGACGTTGTCCTCATCAACCCTGAAAGCGGTAATTCTCTTTGGTATCATATTTCCATGATGTCAAACATCAAAGACAACCATGTATTGCCTTGTAGTTCAAATTCCTCTATTAATGACAGCTATTGTCAACCTATTATTTCAAATAATTCTGTTGAATCTTAATTTGAAGTCAATGTTGTAATTAACCTACAAATAAGGACATTGTTCACTTTTCAATTAAATAAAGTATATAATGTGGAGTTTGTAAAATAGTATATTCATACCCTTGATGTAACTTTTTGGCATATTTGCCATAAGCAAAACCTTTGTCTTGATGTCTGGAAAACAACGTCTGTTACGATCTTCATAGCTGGGCATTTGTCACTAACTAATAAAGATGGTTCCTTTTTGCGTGCTTTCAAGGAAGGTCTCAGCACCCATTTTGAATACGGATGCATTTTCTTGCGCAACCAATCCAGGTCCAAATGAAACACATTTATTTTATAGTTATCAATACCTGTAAATGGTACAAATACCATTTGGTGGATGATGGATAAACAAAATTAAATATTAATAGTAAGTATGCACATGTGAATATCAATATTTCAGCAACTGAATACTACATATTTGTTTGTTCTAAAGGTACCATCAAAAGAGACAATATCCCCAAACGCTTCGTAATTACATTGGATTGAATCATCTGCCTAGAAAACAGCCTCCATTTCACTTTCTTCACATTTGTATACGAATACAAAATTCGGTACATGTTCTTTCCGGTTGTTCATTTTCTTAATCCACATATTTGAATCTCCCCATCCAATGTAGTTGTTATAGTCTCTTTGATGATTTTTAAAGTCCATATTAGTTCCACTAGCGGCTTCATGACCACCTTTTATGCGGCACAATAAGATATGAGCCTTTGATGCTCCAATTTTTTGTGCTGCACATATCTTGATTACTTCTCTATCAAAAAACAACAATTGTCTTCTCTTGCATGTTGTGCTTATCTTCAAAACTGTACTCGGTATAAGTATGTGTCGGGAACAAGTTTAAACCTTATGCATGCATTACAATTGGCTTTTATTAAAGCACCTATTTCGCTTCTTCTTATCCAGTTTTTCGTCAACTTCTATGTTTCTTGGATACCCTGCCCTACTGCACATAACATATTTGAGCTTGATTATATCGTTGTTTTTTCGTTTTTTGTGTTCCCCACCTTATCTCGAACCCCGTATATCTGCATAAATTGTATACATTTCAATTGTTTTGTCTACTGACTCCGACCTTAGGTATAACACAATCCTTCACCCTTGGAATCCATAAGATTGTTCGTTTTAGAGTATTGATGTCAATAATCCGAAATGTATAGTTAATGGGGTTAGTTCATTCTAGTTCATATTTCAATCACAAGTGCATATATGACAAAAGTTAACATTCCTTTGCATTTTATTACCCTAATATAATTCATAAGTTATACTCATTAATTCAATACAGATGCATATATGTATTGATAAAACTTTAAGGATAAAACAAAACTATAACAATTGTATCATGATATGCACTTGTGCATGCTTTCAATTTGGAGATTAATTTCAATATATTTTTTATTCACAAATGCATTTAGTATTTAACAAAATCTTTTTGAACCAAAAATTATATACAAGGCTGATAAATCTAATATGCTATGCACATGTGCATGAACACTATTTTACAAAACTGCATTGGTCAATTTGGTGGAGGAATTAGATATATAAAGTTTGAAGATTTGATCTTTG